TCGGGCTTTTGTGATTTGGAATCAGCAGCTGGGCGGCATGACTAGAAGCTGAAGGTGTTCTTCATGCTGCTGCTTTGCCCATTTCCTCATCAAAAGCTTACGTTTCTTTCTGGTTCACCTCTCTTCTTGCTTGTCCTTTCGCTTCTTTGTCTTTCTATAGTCTCACATTAATGATTTGTTGTATTATGGTGGTAATAATTAGGAGAGCCAACGTGAAGGGGAAACCAGAGAGAGAAGAGCGAGAGAGGAGAGAGAAGAGAGGAGAAGAGAGGAGGAGAGAGGGGAGAGGAGCGAGGAGAGAGGAGGAGAGAGAAGAGAGGAGGAGAGAGGAGAGAGGAGAAGAGAGAGAAGAGCCTTCAAGACCTCATCAATAGCTCGTCCTATCCGCTCAAGCACAAAGAGAGAGAAGAATCCGCACATGGAGACTGCTGTTCCTGTCTTCCACTGGCTGATACGGGAATTCAATGTCCTCCTCCTCCTCCTCCTCCTCCTCCTCCTCCTCCTGTCTCTCACTGTCCTCCTCCTGTCTCTCACTGTCCTCCTCCTACCTTGAAATGTTGACTGGAGCTCGAGGCGAAGACCCGAAGCTTGTGGTCGTCCACCCCTTGGCCATGAGCAGCAGCAGCGCTGACGACAATCATGAGACACCAACAAGGTGGGAGGAGCTGGGGATGTGGAGGAGAAGACGGAGGAGGGCAGGAGATGGAGGTGAAGATCGAGGAGAGAAGGGGGAGGAGGAGGAGGAGGAGGAATGGGGCAGGGGAGGAGGGGGAAGCGGAGATAGAGATGAAGGAGGAGATGAAAGGGGGGAGGGGGAGGGGGAGGGGAGGAATGAGGGAGGAGGAGGGGGAGGAGGAGGGGGAAGAATGAGGGAGCGGAAGTGGCAGGAGAACAAAGTTTCTTACTCATGATGATGATATTTGACAATGATCCCGCCACTTCACCCAATCCCTGCAGGGCTTTGCGTCCTTCCCCGTCGTCTGCGTACTGACAGACCAGCGATGAGATGAAGCAGCAGAGGAGGGGGCGAAGGGAACGCGAGAGAGGAGTGCAAGAAGAGGAAGGGGAAGGGGAAGAGGAAGAGGAAGAGGAAGAGGAAGAGGAAGAGGAAGAGGAAGAGGAAGAGGAAGAGGAAAACGAGGGAGAGGGAGGCAGAGGGAGGGAGAGGAGCAGTAAAAGGAAAAGTGACCGAATAGACAGAAGGAGAGTGTGTTGCTTCCCTAAGAAAGGGAAAAGAAATGGCCATGACAATGAAGGTGAAAATGGTGGAGGTGATAATGATGGAGGAGGAGAGAGGAGAGAGGAGAGAGGGAGGAGGAGAGAGGAGAGAGGCGAGAGGAAGAAGTGTTGTGTTGGTCACCTGCAAGCCATGGAGGGTCTCGAAGAAGACGCTGATGTACTGGAAGAGAAGAGCAGCAGCGAGAAGCATCTCAACAGGATGGAGCGGCTGCGATGGAGAAGTGAGGGATGAAGACAAGGAGAAGAAAAGAACCTGAGGCTCCCTGACTCTCACATACGCAAAGAATGAGAAGAAGATGATGATGGTGTACATGATAGTCCACCCCACAAACATCTCGAGAAGTCCCTTGGGGATGGTTAGGAAGGAAGGGCAAGTGACAACTTGGAATCATCATCATCAGCATCAGCATCATCATCATCATCATCATCAGCAGCAGCAGCATCATCATCATCATCATCATCATCATCATCATCATCATCATCATCATCATCATCATCATTATCATCATCATCATCATCATCATCATCATCAAACCTGTTCATCCACTGAGAATTGCTGATACCACCATCTAATACAGCGGCAGCAGTCAACATCACACGTGTCGAAGAGGAAGCGGAGACAAGCAAAGAGGAGGAAACGAAGTTGGGAAAGGAACATGAAGGGGGAAGGAGAAGGAGAGGAAAAAGGAGAAGAAGATTGAGAAGGAACGAGGAGCAGGTGTCGGGGAGAGGGGCAGGCATGAAGGAGGGGAGAATGTCGTCATGATCATGAGGAAAGGAGCAAGTCAATCATGAAGAAACTTTTACCCTCCCGAGTTGAGAAACGTGAGAGAAAATTGAAGGTCGACAACGTCATCGCAATTGCTCAGCATAGTATACCACTGACAGAGCAGCGTCAGGCCTTCGAGCTGCAAGGCAGCAAAACAACCTGAGCCGGTTGATCGGTCGGTGACAAGTTGAGATCAGCTTGATAGCTTCCAAGCGGAACATTCAGACCTGCTCGACGAAGAGGTTAAGCAATCAACAAACAGCAAACAATCACAAGTCTGAGGTTCACAAACAGGACACAACAATTGTCTGAGAGCTACACAAACAGAAGACAAGACAGATATGAAGACAGAAAACCTTCACTAAGGGAATCGTCTTGCTCGTCCTCTGTAACCTACAAGCAAATCAGCTTCTCTCTTGATACTTTCCCCTCCCACCATTAGCGAAACATTTCGCAGCCCCATGCATGAAAGCTCCTGGTAGTGTGCGAGAATGTGCGGCCAAGACTCTATGCTGTCACGAAGATTTGAGTTCCGAGAAGGTGCAAGGAAGTAGGTAGAGGAGGAGGAGGATGAGGAGGAGGAGGAGGAGGAGGAGGAGGAGGAGGAGGAGGAGGAGGAGGAGGAGGAGGAGGCACCTGCCATCGAAGAAGAGGAATCGTTGACCGCGTACTCTTGTTTTTGTCTTCACGAGAATTCTTCCTCCTGTCTTGTCGAACGTGAACTGACCCAAGTAAATTTCGCTAAATCTGCAAATCCAGTCAGCCTCAACTACCCTCCCTCCTTCCCCCCTTCCCTCCTCTGCTCACAATTGTGCTGATGAACGCAGTTTGCCCCGGATAACTTTTCCCTGCGATCCCCCAAGACGCCACAGCAGGAGGCAGAAGATCAACCGCTGAAAAATTGACAACTTGTCAACAAATACATTCAATCGACTTTCATTGGTATCGTACACTTCCAGCCACATCATGCCTCAACATCACCCTCGTCCTCTTCACCCCCTCAGTTCTTGCAGTTCTCTCATCACCATCATCATTCTCTCAGTGTTCTTTGTATTCTCTCAGTGTTCTTTGTCTTCAGCATATCGACTTGAGAGACGTCAATTTCTCCATTGCCATCGCAATGCCCATCTTGTCTACTTTCTTATCTCCGTCTCTCAGATTCTAACCTTCCCTGTTGAGTGTGTGGTCTCTCTTTCTCTCTCCACAGATAGTTCCTATCAGGGAGAAGATTGGTATCATGAAATGACATGTTCTTCATTGGGGTTGCCATGAATGACATCGAAATCATCACATGCTACCACAAATCTTCGATCTTGATATCTCATTCGCTTCCTCCTTGTACTTGTCTTCCTCCTGATCCTCATCATTTTGGTTGCTCTCCTCCTCCTCCTTCTCCTCCTCCTCCTCCTGATGCTCCTCCCCCCTCCCTTCCCCTCCCCTTGCATACCTGGATCCTCATTTCTCAATCGGGTGACACCGTAACACCGTACCCTACCTCCTCATTTCACCCCCACCCCTCCAACTCTTTCCACCACCCCTTCTTTTTACAAATAATGTAATCATTAAGTACCCCAGTACGTGGAAATTTTGATACCCACCCCTGTATGCACTTGCTACCCCACCCTGGTTTTCCCCTACAGGCTCCCGCCAAAGACAATTTCTGCTCCGACAGGTTTGACCTGATGGCGTCGCCGCTTGAGCGCTACCTGGCGGATAGCCTGAGGATTCCGCAGCTTCCCCAGCAGAGGCCCAGCTCTACTTACCTCGCCCACTCCAGCAGAGATCCACAGGAGATCCTGGACAGAATCTCGTACAGCATGTCCGCGGTCAGTCCAGGTGAGAGAAACGGGAGTGGGAGCAACAAGGCTGAAAGAATGGCAGGACGGGCATCGTACTCGGAGGTCAACCACTTGAACGAGGATGAGCAAGAGATCCTCAACAGAATAGCGACGAGAGTCTCAGCCAGATTTGTGTCCCATGAGACACCCAGGGCTGATGTGAGGAACTCAAAGCCGGTTGCTCCTCCTGCGCAGGCTGGGCAGAACCATGCCAACGCTCCGTTGAAGATGGACAAGTCGACCTCCTCGGACGATATGGAGGTCGGGGCTGACAAGCTAGTGGAAGACAACAGTTCGATCATGGAAGAGAACAAACTTCTAAGAAGAGAGTATGCGGAGTTGTATGAAATCAGCGAGTATACTGAAACCCAGAGTGATAGTTTGCACGTTTGAAATATGTTGACAGGAGGTTAAAGTCTGAGCGACTATCGCAAGATGAGAATTTACGCAAAACTGTCAACGCCATGGTCGAACCTTATATGGATGCACCCTGATGTTGATGTTTCTGCAGAATCTCAAGTACTCAAGTCTGCAGTCACAATATTCTTATTCCCTAGCCGAGATAGAAAGCTTGGTTTGTTTCGTCATGAGCTCATAGATGTGGATATTGATTCACGCATATCAGAAAGAACACTCCATCAAGATGGAGATGATCGCGCAGCAAAAGGTTTCTTGCGATCGGCGATAGTGTTCCGTCAGTAAGAGTCTATCAGATTCAAGACGTCGACTCTCAACGAAAAGTAGCCGTCAGATACTGTGAGGTGATGGAAATAATTATCTACTTACAACCTTGACCTACCAGACTGCAGAGCCTCGAGAGCTCACTACTCGATGAGAAGAAGTGACCAACAGATCATTCAGCTTCAGTTGTTGAACTCTTTGATGCAGGAAACTGCAAGTCGCCATCCTTACGAACGAGAAGTTGAGGAGGCAACTGCTTGAGGTTTCTAAGAAGGTGAGCGTTGGATTTAAGTGTGTGAATGAAGAATCATTTCATCAGGACATCATTCCTCCGGTCGATGCTGACTACGACGACGACACGTCAAACCTTGTCAAGAGGTACGAACACTCGACGACACGTCAAACCTTGTCAAAAGGTACATGTTCTCTTCCCTTACATCTGTGACAGGTTGTCAAATTCCAAGAAGACTCTCCTGGACGGGGCTGAGGTATGACAAGCATTCTAGCCCCCTGCTTGACTGCCGCTTCAGCCCGGAAACCCGACAGAAGGGGAGGGGACTAGGCGATCCTCGGCAAACCTTTCTGCTGCTCGAGAAAACGACGCTGACGATGCGACTGCAAGCGACAAGAGGATGATGAGTGTGATTCATGAGCAAGCCATGGTGTGCTCAGTCTGTTCAGCAGCACATCATAGTCTGACCTTGTTGCAGATCATCCAGCAGCTCCGGAATGAACTTGCCCTCTCCACAAGGTGAGTTGCCGTCAAAGCCGCAAAATCTATGACTCCCAGGAGTAGAGTTGAGAATCCCCTGCTGGACTTGGACCCTCTCGAAGTTCTCCGCGTTTCCCTCAACATCTCCCTGGCGCCAGACTCAGGTAGATGTTCGGCTCGCATGAGCGGTGCTGATCCTCTGTCAGGATTGGAGCGGCAGGAGCGGGCGTTGGCTCTGGTTCAGCGACTTTGCGGTCAGGCATCTCCTGACGATGCAGCAGGTCAAGCAGGCGGTGGAGTCGCAGACAGGGTGGATCCTCGCGCCTGCGTTAGCTGAGATGGCCTCGGAGGCTTTCGGTCACAGTGCAGCTGAGGTTGCGCCCGAGCTACCAAGTTCTCCCTGACAGGCGGAGGCCAGGTGGACTGAGGCTCTATCAGGCACGGTAACCCTAGCCCAGCCTGTCATTGTCCTCGTACTGAGTCAGTGACGTTGGCAGTCAGTGCCGCCCGGCTCCGAGTCGGCGGCCCCGGCGGCCCCCGGGGTTGAATCACTGAGTGCCTGATGCGTTTTAAAACTTCAGGAACTCTTCTTTACTCAAAGTCAAGTCCGGTACCAAAACTCCAATTTTATTCTATCAAAGTGCCTGTTGGTGCTTGGACAGTCACGAGACCGCAGCACAAGGGCCCTACCCCCTCATATCACCTTGGAGGACCCACCTACTCGTAATGAGTCACTTAACCGTGCCCACCTGGGAACCCGGGTACTATACGCAGTTTCTAGGACCAGAGTTCGTATCGAGGCCTTACAGAGGGCCTAGCATCCCCTATGCAATGAAGTTTCCCGAATGTTGACAAGAGGGGTGGTGACATACTGGGAATACGGAGGGGTCGTGGACACAACCGGGGGGTCGAGGGGGTGGGGGTTGCATCGGGGTCGGACTTATCGCCGTGAGAGCGGGATTTCCACGCCCCGAGGAGCTCGACTCGAGGGACGGCACAGCAGAGCGCGAGGAGGAGAGCAGTAGAAAGGTTACGAGCAGCGATGAGCAGTATGGAGAAGAGACTGTCTGAATTAAAGACCGAGCTCGCGAAATGTGATAAGGTCTTGACGTTCTTCAGGAACAGCGCAAGGACTGAAGTTACGAGTGAGTAGATGTGCCAGAGCGCCATGGACGTCAAAGGCATCAACTCACCTGCTGTCAGGGTTAGTGGACGAGATACAAGACCGCAAGACCAGGATATTGGAAGAGATGTCGGTGGTATGCCATCTCACACACTTGAAACTTGGAGCCTCACGTATCCGTTTTCAGGTCAAGTCTGTGATAGCACGCCCAAAAGGATTCCCAAAGAAAAAAATCGAGAAATATGTTAGCGTTGCTTCAGGAGTGATGATTTTTTGAGGACAGAACTCCATGCATGTCCATGTATTGATTGCTATTCATGAATGTACTAGAGTAAGAATGATCCATCCGATCCCATAATGTGTTCATGATTAATTCTGCATTTGATGCATCGATGAATCATGTATCGGTAGAGGAAGTATCTCGAAGGCATAGAGGAATCGTTTTTACAACCAGCCTGATCATGTTGCTAGCCGTGATAATCTTCGCCTCGTTGAGGTCTGCAACAACTTTAGTATTGTCATTTTATGCCAATGTTTACCCTCCGAGGCTCAGGGCCTTTCACTTCAAGTAAAGTCTGTCGTATGGAATTGATCAACGGATTGCGGCAAAGTTTGGGCGGCCGATGACCTCGGATCGAGCCTCCACATCACTGATCAGTGCCATGATCGGATGCTCTTAACCAGCCTGAGCAGTGAAACTGCGGGCCCGGGGTGCGAGCCTGACGAGGCGAGTCGGTGACCGTACAAGTCGCCGCAAGCATTCACTCAGCGTGGCCTGCCACTGGCAGCATCATGTGCCGCTGCCCGGCGGCGGGCACGGTCTCGCGGAGCCCGGTGTCCAGCCCGGGCCGCGGGCTCGGCGGGGCCCGGGCCGGCAGTGACTGCAGCCTGCCGCAGTGCCCTGAGCCTCAGCGGCCATCACGGTCAGCGGCGGCCCGGTGCCCGGAGCCAGGCTGAGTCGCGCCCGCCGCCACGGCTCATCATCATCAGCATTCGGTTGAAGTTTGACCGGGACTCAGGGCCGGGGACTCCGGCGGCGGTCGGCGCCGCCCGGCCCGCCGCCGGGCTGACTGCGGCACCGTCCGCGCTGCGGCCCACTCAGGCCGGCCGGGCCGCCGGGCCCGGCCCCGGACTCAGTCGGGAAAGGGGTGGGGGTGGGGGTGGGGGTGAGAAGATAACGTGTTGGGACGTACAAGGGGTGGGTAGTCGGCGGCTATTCTGGGCAACATGCTGATCAACCTGGTAAGAGCAGCAGAAGCAGCAGCAGCAGCAGCAGCAGCGTTGTGGGAGCAAGAGTAGATGCAGAAGGAAGGGCATAAGATGTAGAGTACTAGATTTGGAAACCTACATGACAAATAGCAAGATCGTGATGAGTAGCCGGAGTGAGTCGTATGTGGCTGGTAAAATAACATCCTGCGCTGCCCGTGGTGATGGGATAAATAATGAGATGAGAACTTATTCACCAGCAGCGCTGAGTGAAACAGATTCCAGTATCGTATTATGTGCTCTCTGATTTGGTTGGTTAGAACATGGCAGCATTCACCATCGGGTATCAGAATGGTTATTCCGATGCCAAGAAGGCAAACTCGCCAGGAGGACAAGGATACGCGGCTGCTTACAAGTCAGGACTGCAGGCTGGTCTCAAGGTATTTGGCGTTTGCTGAAGCTGCGAAACTCCAAAAGGCGCTGACATAGCGTTCCAGCACGAGGAAAACCATCTCCAGTTCCTTCAGAGCATGAAGAGAGCACGCGAGGCATACTATGCTGCTACCTCAGGAGGACAAGGAACAGCGGTAGGGAGAGATGGATGGGGAAGCGTCCGTTGACAACATGTGCAGGCTATGGGGGTTGTTCTGCCAAGCCAACCGATCGACACAGGAAGTCTCTGAGAGGTTCACGTGTGTGTTTAGCTCGTCTTTGTGAATATGTTGTTTTTTCATGTAATAACTTCTTGCTTCTCGGCTTGTTTTCTGAATGTTTCTTACTTCACCAATCATCTCCCTGCGATACTATCTCCTTGCATGTTGGCCGTAACAAAATTGTGTGCTCGTACTGTGCCACGTACGACCCGCGGGTATCGTACAGAGGTGGATAGTCCTGCAGCACAGATAAGATGCGGATGAATATCCATCGCGCTCTTACCTCAACTACTCCTGACTCTACAAGATGTCGGAGAGCAGGCATGTAGCTGTGAGAAAGTGTCAGGACACCCACACAATGTCACTCCTGTTACTCTTTCTGTCCCGCCCATTCGAGGTATCTTGGGCAGAAGGGGAGTGTCTGTTAAGAAGTCATTCATTCGTTTCTTCCCTTGCTGCTCACCTTGAAATGTTTCTCGATGAAGGACTTCAACTTCGCTGCACGAGGCATCTTGATCTGACCACAGCGCGTCAACAAGAGATAACCTGCCGTTGACATGTACCTGCGCGCCGCCATCCAGCATTTCCTCCGCATGGTTGAGGGCGAAGTGACTGCAGTCACCATACTGTCGCAACTTTCAACAGAAATCATCTCATGCCATGTCCCAACCTCCCGCACGTATCCGCTCCCCGTGGTGCCAAAGGTCTCAATGGCGTAAACTTCCCCTTCCTGTCTGACTGTCAACGGGCTGATCAATCGGCTGACTCCTCTTGCTCGTCACCTCCATCCTTGTCGATGGGCCACCGGCCACGATAGGCACTGACTTGCCGGCATGAATGCGATAAGGCTCAATGCTGTGACCCTGCCTTTCGATTATGACAAGGTGAAAGATGCAACAAGAAACAGGAATTTCACCATGAGATTCCTCACGCACTTCACTTGGTATCTTCAAGGAAGCAGTGTGAGCGAAATTTCACAGTCAGGAACAATTTGGCTATCACGTCTTTCCATCAATGACACACTCGTATGATTCCATAACTTCCTGATAGATTGGTAAGGCAACTTCCACAACAGCCAGAACCTCCTTTGTGAACCTGAATTGCCTCCCCGACATCGCATAATCTCACATCGATTCCCGCTTCCTTGATCCTGGCGAGGAGAATCAGAGAAGAAACGAGCAAGACTGTCTTCGAGTCTACCCCGTGTATGTTGCGTCTTTTACAGCCTCCAGCAATGTTTCATATTTATCATTCGGAGCCCATGTGAACGCTGGGGATGCCGTCAGGCGCAAAGGGCAAGGATTTGATAAAATCCACCTGAGTCAACGATGAAGCCGTTGACGTGCGTACCGAAGTCAAGCTTGAGAACATCATCATATCTGACGACGATGAGATGAGAGGAGACAAGAGACGATCAAGGGAGAAAATTCACTTCAGCACAGTCTTGTCTCCAGGGTTGGAGGTGTAATGTGCTGCACAGTTGTTCAAAGAGACGCCAGTGGGGAATCCGATGCCAGCCTGAACCAGAACCCTCTCAGAGACAAGTTGAGAGAGAGGACAACATGTATGACCTTGGTGCCTGCCTTGCCCTTGTCTGCCTCAAGGTAGGTCCTTGTAGCGTTCTCGAGCTTCTCGCAGATGTCGATCAGTTTGACCTGCGACTGGCTCAGCACCATCGTCGCTCATGGCAGCAGCGAGCATACCCCCGGTTTGATCAGCTCTTGTTGCGCATATCTCCTCACACGCCTGCTATGCATTACGAGGAGGCTGTGCCTCTATTGAAACAAGTACCGGTGGACTTCAGCTGCCTTTCGGATGCTGTTAGCCTTGTCCAGCAAGATGGCCTCCATCTCCCTCCTCTCTGCCTCGCAGGACGGAGTGATCTCCACTCGATACCTTGCACAAGTCTGTCAGGGGTTTGCAGGACGAGGAAGCTCCGATTGACACCCGTCGCTGTAGGTTTTATGCTCGTATTTCCTCTCCTTCCCTGTAGGATACATCCTCTGCAACCAGCCTCAGTTACGAAGGAACTGATCTGACCAGCTGACCTTCCGAGGTCCATCGCTTTTGGGGAAGTAGTGGTGTATCGGCATGGTTGGCGCTAGACTCTCCTCAAAAGCAGCGACCACCTCGATGGCCAGGAATGTGAGGAGCAGGAATTTCCATCGTCGCGAGACCTCGCTCACAACATGCTGGGAATGCCACAGCATGATGTGAGAGGAGCTTCAGATGTTCAACAGCTTGCACTCAAATGGTTCCCAAGATCTGATCTGAACTGTTGCCCCACTGAAAACTGAATGAGTTAGTCAATGATTCCACAAAGCGATGCAAGGATCAACAAAGGTGGCATCGTAGCTGGACAGAAGGAGATGAACGCGTCAACGGATTGTATGTTCATGAAATCAGGAGGGAAGTACAGGAACAAACAAGACAGGGGCTGTCAGCCGTAGCCATTTCGTTGGATCAGGCTTTACATGACATTCCCTTTGACCTCCTGTCTTCCCTCAAAACTTTAACCCTACTACCTTCTAGCCACTCGAGCATTTCTCCCTCTACCTGCTACAATCATATTCTCGTTACCTCGCTCCTCTACCCCCCTCCCTCCCTTCCCTCTTCCTCTCTCTTCCTCTCCTCCGCTTTCTGCATGCCATGCAAGGCCTCCGAGTCCTAAGTGAATCCTTAACTAAAACTCTGATTGAGCTAAACCCAACTGTGCATGGCCGTTACATTTTCATGAAGGCCGTTTGAATCCGTTACTACACAAATATCGTTACTCGGCTCGTGTATGGTCACAATTTTGAATGCGGGGTGACTATTTTCTAAATTAATTACAATGCTTCACAAATATACTAGTTATTTTGGAAATTTCTGTAATAAAGTTCGAAATCTAACCAAGTGATCTAATGTTTTGTGGCCACCGGGAGGGATCAGCCTGCAATTAGCAGAGGATGGCAGCGGTAGCTGAGCACGCAGAGCGGCAGGAGGGAGAGGAGGAGCAACAAGAGCAGGGAGAGCAGGGAGGAATGGATCCAGGAGATCAGGGAGAACAAGGACATGGGGAGCAGGGAGGAAAGGAAAATGGGGAGCAGGACGAAGGAGGCAAAGAGGAAGGTGAAGCAGAGGAAGGTGAAGTAGCTGGTCAAGCGAACGATGAGCAAAGTAAGACCGCGCAGAGCAGTGATAAAGATGCACCGAGCACCGCTGGCTCTGCAAAAGCGGGTCAGGGGCGGAAGATAAGGAGGAGGGCGAAGAGGGTGAAGAGGAAGGTGAAGTGGTTGACGAAGGAGGTGAAGAGGGAGAAGGATATGGAGAGGGTCGTCCACAAGGAGAAGGTTATGCTGAATCGCACGGGAGCTACTCTGGGGACATGAAGGAGGCTTCCGACGAAAGAGATCATACAGACTGGGTGATGGTTACAGGCATTCCAGCTGCTGATCTCGACCTCAGTAAGCTTTCGGAACTGTTCGCAAAGTATGGAAAAGTGCTCGAGATCTTCGCGGAAGAGAATGTGGAGACGCCACCTGTGTTTGTTCGCTTGTCTGGAGAATCAGGAGCCTCCACAGAGAGTGGACAACAGGAGGATGCGATGCTCTGCGTGGAGACGGCGGTTAAGGAACTCAACAATACTGAGTTCGGTGGTGCCACCATGGCAGTGGCAAAAGCACCTCCCCTTCATCAAGTATTCGTCGGCAACATTCATCCAGACACCAAGGAGGAGGAGGTCATTGAACTCTTCAAGAAGTTCGGAAAGCCTGACAGGTCCATCGTGATGCGAAGCGCTGAAGGAATCAGTTTGGGCTATGGCTTCTTGGAATTTTCGGATGCCTCGCAAGCAAGGAAAGCTGTTGAGGGAATGAACCTCATAGTATACAAGGAGCGACAGCTGCGAGTAGATTTTGCGGATTGTCGTTCGAAAAGTTCTCAGTTCTCGCCAATTGTTTTCATCGACCAGTTGCCTCGCACGTTTGTTGACTTGGAGAAATTGAGGTCTATCTTTTCGCCCAAAGGTGCCATGGTGGATTGTCACTTGGCCAAAGGTCCCGGAAACGTGACAAGAGGCTTTGCGTTTGTGGAGTATGAAACTCACGATTCTGCGTACTCTGCCTTTCGTGAGCTGAATGGCTACAAACTCGAAGGTCAACCCATCCGTGTGAGTTTTGGCAACCCAGCTTCCTGGAATTACTGGAAAGTTCGATCGTCCAAGTTCAACAAGAACAGATTCTTCGGGCGTGACTTTCGAGGAGGAATGGGACGAGGGGCTGGAGGTCGAGGCTCCGGAACCCTCAAGGGCTTCCGTGAAGGGATGATGCCGAACATGATGGGTCGGGGTGGTGCCATGGCTTCCGGCATGAACATGATGGGCCGAGGAATGATGGCGGGACGTGGGGGAGCAGGGGGAAGGATGCCTCCGCCTGCTGCTGTGATGATGAACATGATGGCAGCGATGGGAAGAGCTGCCAAGATGGCCCGTGGAAACATGGGTGGGATGATGCCAGGTAGGAACATGCCTATGGACATGCAGCGACAAGGCATGCCCGGGATGCCAGCCGGGGGAATGATGCCCAACATGGACAATTCTGCTGGAGGAGGCAGGGATTCCCATGACAGACGTTTGAACGCTGCTGTCTCACCAGGTCAACCGGTGATGAACTCACAATTCGTGAAGGAGCAAGAGAGGAGGAAACTTGACTATCAGCGCCAGCTGCAACAACAGCAGTCGCAGCAGGCTGCCTACATGGGAAATCCAAACCCCAAATCGAACAGAGAGATGATGATGGGAAATCAGATGCCGGATTACATGCAGCAACCTCAACAACAGCAAATGTCGCCCTCCTACAACCAGGGAGGTTTCATGCAAGGTCAACCGATGCAGATGAACCAACAAGGGTTTCCGATGATGAACGATCAGTCACAAATGATGGGGTATGGACAGCAGATGGGACAGCCGATGGGACAGCAAATGGCCAATCCTTATGGAAACTCAATGCAGAACATGGGATACAACTATGGGGGTCAGCAGGGGCAGTTCGGTTACGACCAGGGCATGAATCCACAGATGAATCCACAAATGAACCCGCAGATGGGCTACCAAGGAGCACAGACTTTCCCCAACCAGATGCCGCAGGTATAGTTTGATGAGATTGTCGCGATGATCCTGTGTCATGATGATTGTTCAGTGAAGTGAAACGCGTCAATATCATGTGCATGTTAGCTGATTTGGCTGATAGCAGGGGCAGATGATGCAGCAGAACATGCCAGGTCAGCAAGGAATGTACGGAGGATACGGAGACGCGTCCTACGGGCAGAGCCAGCAAGGTGGATACGATCAGTCGGCCTACAACCAACAGCTCATGCAAGGCGGCGGCTACGGGATGCAGCAAGGAGGCCAGAACTACAATCCTTCGGCGTACATGCAGAACAATCAGCAGTCCATCTACCAACAAGCCTACCAGGGCGGCAATGCCGGCTATGGTGGTTTCGATGGAGGCAGTTACGGAATGCAGCAAGGACAGATGCAGCAGGCAGGCTCGAAGCGCTCTGCTGCCTCAATGTACGAGGGGCAATACTAGCAGTCTCTCCTGTTGAGCGCAAAGTTGCAGACTGACCACATGCAAGATGAGATACTTGAGATGAGTTAGGCCTTTGCTCGCAGGAAGGATTGTAGAGTATGAGATGACGTGACATAGTTGGGAGAGGAAGGGGATGCAATGAGATTTGTGGGATAGGGGAGGAAGGTATCAAAGTGAGGGAGCAAGGACTTTCTTTTTCGCTTCTTTCCATGTGCGCGTGGGCTCAACTCGATTTTCTTGACTGCATTAGCGTTTCACGGTCAGTAGGAAGGTGATGGGGTGGAAAAGGTTTTGAACATTTTCAAATCGTCTGCTGATGTTTGAAATCCACAAGAGAATATTTGGTTCCAACGATTGAGGATTGTGAGGTGCGAGATGGTTTGGTGGATCAATCAATGATGGTACTTGCGATATCAACCAGCCTTAGCCAGCATAGAACGATGTTGGTAGATAGCTTGCAAGAAAACCGATGACATCTTTATAGAATTGAGTCGGAATGGTACATTAGAGGTGTTTGCTGTCAGTTGTCATGTCTCACTCGGCCGAAGTGCAGCCAGGATGTTTGCTAAGGAGGCAGCGCGTGACCGGGGTCAAGCACGACGGGCAGCTGAGGATCGTCTGGGCTGTAAAGGCATGAATGAAGCATCTCAAAAGTCTCCTCCTCGTTCCACCGTCGCTCCTCGTTCCTCAATTTCGCCTACTCATCCTTCCTGCGTCACTACGAGCCTGAACGGATCGCGTCTTGCTCCCTGTGTGTTCCCGCAGCCATTATTGGTGGTTACAGCAGCGTCAACCTGGGCGACCTCTTCGCCTCCCCGTCAGGGCTGTCGCTGACTCTTCCTACCGCTGTCGTAGCAGGTCAGAAGCTTCTTGAAACTGCATGGCACTAGGGACCTTGCAGCTGCGGGTTCTCTACGGGGCCGTCGCTTGCGCCTGCGGCAATACGAGCAGCGTTGGGCGCCTCGACCACCCGCTTGGCAGCTGATGAAGACATGATTACATCCTTTCTGCCTCCCCCTCCTCCCTCCTGCTCTCCCCCCCCTCCAACCTCCCGCTCCCCTCAAAGCTACCTCCGTCAGAATCCTTCTTCTGCACTTTCTTCACACCTATCGACACAGTAAGAGGAGGAGAGAGAAGAGCGACTTCAAATCACCATCCACGAGTTTGCCAAAAGCGATCGCAGGGACTGAGAAAAGTTTCAACGCCACCTGCGAGGCATCAGCTACGTCGCCCTCCCACGTCGACTTGTCTCTCACTCTACCGACGTTGGCAGGCCGATTAATATAAGCTGGGATCTTCTTTCCTGTCAAGCATACGCAGAGCTCCTGCAGGAGGGTCAAGGTGAAAGCTTGGAGGTCGTTTGAAGCATTCGACGCTCACATTGCTGAAATGGTTGCAATTTCTTCGAACCAGATCGTACGTGTCTCCTCGATACTTCTCTGCCAGTCTGGTACCAGCAAGTCATTTCACATGACAAAGAGAAATGCGGGCAAGCAATAAGGAACGCTAGACCGACCTCGACAGGAGATGATCGACTTCATGACGCGAGCGGTTGATATGCCCCATCGTGATCGCCTGTTCCCTCACTGTCAACTCACCAGCAGAGGGGCTGGACGGCAGGAGCAGTCTCAACCTCCTTGAAGGTGATTCGTGGCATGACGCCTCCCGCACATCGAGATGGCACTTCAAAAACGCCCTGTAAGAGAAGGTCACTTTCGATCACCATCCCTCTTTCTACTCACAGTACAGCCATCGTCAGAGTAACCAAAAGAAATTTCCCGTCCATAGACTTCAATGCCCGAATGATAGATACCGAACCCCATCCCTGGTAGACCAGAGTTCACTTTCTTTTTCTTCCCGTCCTTATCATCCTGGAGCCGCTTCAGACAAGAACAGCCAATGGACGAGATTACTTGTCCCCATGCTAGATCATACACGTTGCAGTAAACAGGAACAGCTTCTTCCGGCCTTAGGTAGTACTGCTCGGCCGTTACCACCTTCTCGAACTTCTCAACTTCCTTTAAAATCTGAGATCTGCCCTCAGTCCCACGGCACACATAGTCATACGCTCACCGCTGGGTTGGTTCGAGCCTCGCTATACTTCTCGAGCGCTTTCTCTACCTCCCCCTGCCAACCAACTCAGCTTCTCTTGTTATCTGAGGGGACGAGTATGCTGTGAGACCTGCGTCTCAACCATGAGCAGCGCGAGGATGTGAGGATTGACGCCAGATCCTATCAGAGCCGCAAGGGATTCGTACGGTTTTCTCGGCGTGTTGTCACTGCATGGTAACAATTGAATAGCTGCACACAAGGTGTGAGGAAAGGCGTACTTGTCCTCCAGCGTCTGATGATGTGTGGTGCTCCTCCCAATCCCAAGATCCTCGCTTGGTAATGGAATTCCTGCTCCGTCGTACGAATTGATCATCACAAAATCCTTGCTCTCGCTCTCAAAGAAAGTCTCCAAGGCCATTTGCACGTTGCCGCCTACGAGGAAGTGAGGAGGGCAGGTCGAAGCATGAGATTCTTGTACCCGCATTTCGTAGAAGCTGCTCCAGAACCTCGTCAGGCACATCCAATCCCACGACAGATCGCATCGCATCGAACTTCTTGTCTAGGTCCAGCTGAAGGGGGGGGATCAGGCGTCAAGAAGGAAGATGAGGGGCAGAATCACTTGAGCTTGTCCGGCGGAGCGATTCGGTGGAGCAGTTCCCGGCCGTCTGCGTCTAGATCTAGAGGATGACGATAAGAGATGGAAACATCGAATAAAGGAATTCGAAACAACGAAATCCAACGTGTCACTGTCTCATACCTCTCCATCGCGTGGGCATCCATGTTCAAGTGTTCCAACGAGTTTTGCACATCTTTTCAAGAATGTAAGGACTCAACGTGTGCGCACATACTCAATACCAGTGAAATCGATGGGCCCCTGGTCTCCATTCTCATACGCCATATCTCCTGACACGGGTTCTTGAGGTTGTGATGACTCTGAATTCGGCTCGAGACGTTGGCAATTTGCCTGCATGAGCAGAATCTGCAACAACCAGCCACTCAATCTATGAGAAAGGAACAATGCTGGTTCACCTCCGGTCCTCGGTCAAAGAAGAGAGACACCGCCGCATCTAAGTCTCGCGCGGTGTATCTGCCGGACGCCAATGGTGAGATTTCCAGCGAGTTGCACATTTGTTAGGTCTTACTTGAGAAGATTTTCAGCCTGTTCTGCTGTGACATTGTCTTCCCCCAAGACGGATCGAAGTGCGGCTATTTCACCTTCCATCCCTTCACCTGGGGATGCTATTTACCAACGTGCATATCAAGTGGTCGATGTGGATTGTTACGAAGCCTCTTGAACTCTATCAAAGAAAAATTTCTCTCATAGATGAGAAAATTGCAGCATGTTCATATGGCATACAACAAACAACGGATTCTTTGAGACCGTCTCAGATCATTCTATGTGAGCATAAACTTTTCTTACATTCATTCAACGACTATTTCAAATTCAGGTCTTAAGCCGATGAGGAAAGTTTTGGTCATGCAAAAAGTGCGTGCAGTGTAATCATGGCAAAGCAAACAGTCATTCTCATATTGCTTATCTGTTGCATCGTTACTGGGCAAGAAACATGCGGCCCCATTCAGAAGATGATGTGAAAGACATTGAAACTATGCGTGGCGAATTGGATGGGGGAAGAATAGACATTGTATGAAGAATCATGAATAGCGAATAAGGATGTGAGACGACAACATATCAATCAGACAATGGAAGTTAATTCCAGTCACATCACATGATCATCAGACGCCCTATACCACATCTACCATTCGACTGTTCCAAATTTCACCACACAACTCCAAGTTTCTCTGCTTCTCCCCCTTTCCCACTTCTCTTCTGTGCAACATAGCTTCTTTCTCTTATTTCATGGAGTTGATATCCTTCTCCTTCCCCCCCGCCTCTCCTCCCCTCTCCTCCCCCCCTCCATTCTGATGTCCCCTCCTGACCGCTCCATGGAGGACATGTTTGCGGAAAAGACGATTGGAGTGAGAGAGGCGGTCATGGGGGTGGGGTGTGTGGAGAATTCGGGTAGGGTACTTCGTGAAAGGTTTAGGGTGGGGTGGGGTGATAGGAGTTTGATGGGGTCCTTTGTGGGTAGGGTTGTATGGTGTTGTATGGTGGGGTAGTCGTAGCTGCAATGCCCCTACCCCTACCCCCACTTGAACACTGACTACTACCCCCCATTTAACCCAAATCCGGTTGCGGGTCCCTCACCAAATCTTATCACCGACCCGCCTCAGCACTTTTAACTTCAAGGCTAGTGACTTTCAGAGTAAAGACCGACAGCCTGGCTGACTCCGGGACTCGGGACGGTCGAGCCTGCCGGCGCAGTGCCGGCGGCTCCGACGCCGCCCGGCCGCCTCAGCCTCCGGGCAAGTCACGGGCCCAAGTTCGGAAGCACGGTCAAAACTTGCCGAGGCGGCGGCGGAGCCGAAACGGGCTCTCAGGCTCGGAAGGACTGAGGCCCTCGGAGGGACTTCAGTAAGCTGACGAAAGATCCTGGACCGGAGTATGCGTCACCCGGCGTTTGCAAGCCCGGGCCTTGAGTCAGGCTCAGTCACTCAGTGCTCGAGCCCGGAGCCCGCGGGCCGGGCCCGCCTGAGCGGCCGCCCGGGCCGAGGGCCGGCCGCCCGGCCTGAAGCCTGATAGTGTAGTAGTACAACAAACTTTAATCAACTAGCAGCAACAATACTTGGGGGTGAGGAATGATAACAGAAACTAAAACTTAAATGGTACAAGATTATTATATTAATACAATTTCTGTATGAATATTTTACATGCCGTAGCATTTTATAAATGCTTTTCGGCAGTTTATCTTCCAACTGCCGACAGTACCCCCGTTCTTTCCGTCCATTTTGAAAGGATAGTCACCGGTAGTAGCGTCAACAAATGAAGAAGGATATAGGGCAATGCTAGATGATTATTTAATTGGAACACTAAGTAAAAACAGACATCTCCACTACATTCGCTTTTCTCCCATCACCCCCACCCTTTCACGACAACCCACCTCCCCCAGTGGGGTCACTGTTTTGGAATAGATCGCATGGCGGCAAGCTGTTGAGCAAGAGTTGACATCAAGCGCGGATTCAAAAGCTGATTGTTGTCCTTCTCCTACCTCTTCCTCGTCCTTCCCTCCTGCTCCTCCTCCAATCCTTCAAAGTTTGTGCCGCATTTCCCTGCTGTTGAACGTTACAAGGAAGACAAATGATCAACCGCACCTGGTTTATCGCCTGTGTTCTTCTCTGCATCTCAATGATCAGCTACACGGACGCTCAATGGTCTAACCCTATCAAGTCTGTGATTTCGGGTGTTGGGACCTATTTTGCACGTCAGGTTTGTTAGATCTTCTCTCTCACCCACAGCATCATTTCACTCATACTCGTTTGATATAGCTTCCCAAGACACTCACTGGCCCGTTTGGACCTGATCCGACCCATCCTAACCTGAGGTTCTGGTTCACTCCGGATACCTTCGAGCAGGTTCAGATTGGATGACCATCAGCCTTCATGCTGATACAGAACAGGACAACGTCGCAGACAACACGCCCGTTGAAACGTGGAGAAACGTAGCCCAGCTTGGAGTGATCAATGGAGTACAGACTCTCTATGGTGATCCTGAACAACCTGAGAGATTGATGCAAACTACATCTTCTCAGAAGGTCTGACATGATAGCTTGACACCTTCCTTGATACTTGTATTGACTTCTCTGTCAGCCACTGTACAAGCGCGGAGTCCTGAATGGCCATGGAGTTGTACGATTTGCCCGATCAAACACAGATGGGAGCACAGGACAACGACTCGTAATGTACCAGAATAGCTCTGCAACAGACAAGGGCTTCATGATGAATCCTTTCGCTAATTCCTTCACCATGATGATGGTGGTCAAAACCAATCAGGTAAACAAATATACAACGTAGGAGTTTTTGCAAATTTGATATGCTCTTCTTCAGAACGTAGGAGATACCGGAGAGATGGGAATTTTCAGCGCAGGAGAGACAGAAAATGGGGCGACGGGTGAGAAGGGATTGCATGTCTTCAAGACATGCTCTACCTGTACTCAGAACGGAGGTAGCCCCCCGAAATGCTTTCAGGTAATCTTTGATATAGTTAGTATTGCAGTTTTTGATATTTGAATAGGGAAAGTATGCTAGTCTTAGCACCCTGAATGCACTCTATGGTCAGAGCACAGAGATTTTGACCGGAAGTGAAGCAGCAATGAAGAACTGTGAATCGGAATGCGCTTCTGGATGTGACTTGAATCGGATTCCAGACGCCTGCGCTTCACAGTATGTGTTTTGAATTCAAAACAACTTTTGAGCGAGGTAAATCATGTGAATAGGTGGGGTCCAACCGGGCATAGGAACCTCCAAGACCCTGACCAAATGTTCAGAATTTTGACCGTTCGTGTCACAAATTCGAACTCGCAGGCAACTCTTGAAGTCTTCATCGATGGGTTGCATGCCAGCACGCAGGTAGATTCAAGCATCAAAATTTGACCGTCTGAATGTTCAATGTTGCTTAGCCTCCGATCCAAATTTCTCAAGTCACCCCTCCGACTATCGTTCAATTCATGTTGGGCGTGAAGGCATTCAACAATGACACCAATCTGCAGTACATGTCTGGAGACATTGCAGAGGTCAGTCTGAATGGAATTGTGATGTGATCCTGTGACTAGAATGCAAACTAGGTTCTTGTGTACAATACTTCTCTGACAAATCTTGAAGCGGACAGGGTAAGTTTTAAAATGCTGCCTGGTATGGTCTGAACCATACATTCAAGATTGGTCATTATCTGTCGAAGAAGTATGGTATACCCTATTTCCGCTTGGATGCAGAAATCGAATCGAGCACACGATCAGTTCCTTTCTCCTGCTCCGATTGTGCCGGGAATGGTCCGATCGGAGAGGGTGGTATCATAAAAGATGGTGGAATAACAGAAGACTATTGTTATGAAGCGCAAGGAAACGTAGATCACGTGCAGTCAACAAAGTAAGTTGTCAAGCATTTTTATCTTCTTATCAACTGTGTTCGAATATTCTGCCTTTCTCATGTAACAACAGAGTTTTCAACATAACTACGACGAATACTGTTCAAGACAATTGCTTCAAAGACATGTACATTCGAGTTTGTGAAGGAAGCTGCCTGGAAGATTCCAACAAAGGTCTCATATTAAATCTTAAGGGTACGAGCAAGGTATCAGAAAGCAAATATTTTCACATTTCTGACTTCTTTGAAGATCGTTTCTAACTCCATGACGGAACTTACTATGGAGACTGCAATCACTGGTGTGGCTTCTGGCGATGCTGTCATTATCGCAAATGCTCACAAGGTCAAACTCGCTGGGGCAACAAATATTTATGGAATCAAAGCGGCAGATGAGGATGACTACTATAGCTACAAACGCGGGATGAACATATTCTTCCCAACAGGGTATTATAATTCATTGCATGCACTAGTGTCTAAAGACATTCTTCAGGCGATGCGAGGGAAAAGCTGCACGTATTTTGAGCTACAATGCAACCTCGAGATGCGCAACCATCGGAGGAGACTTGGAAGTGGGCGACTACGACCTTCAAAGTGTTGCCACCCTGAAAGACCAATGGGGATTCTGCTCTGGTACTAACTGCCAGGGTCCTAGCGTGGGTGGAATCGGAGGAGCAGGAGATGGTCACATATCTAGTGTTAAGATTCTGAGCAAAACCACAAGTGGCTGCACAACAGGAATGCAGATCACTGCCTCATCATCAACGGGAACCGGTTTCTATGCTGTCATCACTGCAACCAGCGGACAGATTGACAGTATCCAAGTGATTTCCCATGGATATGGATACACTACAGCGCCTTACTTGATAATTTCTGATCCAGCCTGTACCTGCGACTCTCTTACATGGGAAAATGCCTCGACTGCTGTCAATAGTGGAGCATGTCTTCAAGCCATCGTTGGGAGATTTGCTGACAGTACTGCCTGTGTCCCAGAGCCAGGACAGAGATATTTGATCGCACGAGACTACAAGTATCAGGTAGCATTCTTCATATTGTTGTGCTTCGCAATGACTCTTGACTACAGAACGTCCGGACTAGTGGATACTATTACGGAGCAAATTACATCAGTGGCGGAGCATTTCAAGAAGGGCCAGCGTCTGGGGGATCTTTTGTTCGCATACGTGGAGCTTATCTCTTTCCCAATGACATGCACATTGATGGAGTGGCAAGTGTTACAAACGTTCAGCTGATGAATGGTAAAGACGCGATCACCAACTTGAAGTATCTCCAGGTATCTCCAAGTCCAGCTCTCGAGCTGTATTTCCCTGATCCTCCCTCAGGTCAAGATTGGAGGGAACGTTGCGGATGCTTGTACCCTCTACAATTTTCCACGGGGAAATGATCCAGCTGGCACGAGGTCCCTGACTGTGTACGACTACAGCGCAGTGGACGAGCTGCCTGAGATTCGATGCAAAGTGCCGTCTGGCGTCGGAAATGGAAATGACTTGGAAGTTTCGTGGCACGGGGTAGCAGTCACCATCTCCAATTGGTTCAAGTACTCCAAGCCGATTGTTCGAAGGGTCTCTCCTGTTTCCGTCTCGTACAGTGGAGGAGATAAAATCACCATCTACGGCAACAACTTCGGTCCTCAGGCTGCTTGGGCGACGGGGTCCAGTCATCCGGTAGATCCTTCAAGTTGAAATGCTCAAGACTCACATTGGTCTCAGGGAAGGATAGAGCTCTACAATCGCGGATATCAGTCGTGTAGCAAGGTGGAATACATCTCGGACAGCGAACTCCGATGCATTGTTCCTGCTCTTCGTCCGGTGAACTTGAACTTTGACAAGAGCACGAGGACTCTCAATGTCAAAGTCGTTGTGAACGTGGGCAATCAAGCAAGTGCGTTGGACACAGCCCCCGCCTTGACGTACCAGAAGGTTTCTTGCCGCGTCTCTCGTTCATCCTCCTCTTGACACTCCCGTACAGGTTCCAACCTACTACTCTTGTGCTATCGCTGCCAACGACGTCTGCATGAGCTGCTGCAGAGGAGCATGCATGCTTGACGCCATCGCAGACAGCCCGACCTCGTCGATCTCCTCCAGGTACTCTCCGAGGGTCGAGAGCTCTGCAGCTGATCCTCTTCCAGTTGCGATACAACTTGCTATCGGTTTTGCGGGATCTTGTCCTCAAGTCGACGACTGCTTGAGGTGGGAGCCGAGCAGCTGCTTCCTTCGCCGCCTCTGACGCGATTCATTCAGGTGCTTCGTCAGATCATGGAGACACGGAATAGCACCAGGCGCTAGATATTCTCGTCGAGCTTTGAGACTTGTGCTTTATGAAATGAAAGATTATTTTCTGCACTCCACTTGTGTGTACAGCCTTTGACCATCCAATTGTTCTGTCTATCTTCTTTCTCGACTTGTGTCTTTGCAGTTGCGCATCGGACTTGTGAAGTCAAGTCGGAGCCTCTACCCTCCTCTAATTGCTCGATATCTTGTTCCGGCTATTCGCCTTCTCTATGCTCCCTCTGCTCCTGCTCCCTCTGCTCCTGCTCTCTTTCGCTCAACCTCATCCTACCATCTCCGCCTCCTCTCGCTTATTTTCTCGCCTGTTTTCATTGCCTCCTCTTCTCAACAAAGTTTCCTTCTCCGAGGAACAGTCCTGTACCCCACCCTCGTTCATTGCAACCATCTCCTCTCCCTACCCCACATTTCCTCATGGAGTACCCCTGATAGAATAATGCACTTCAAAACACCCACCCCATCCAGCTTTCCGCCTTTCCAGCCGTAAGATGCAAGCAAGCTGATCAAGGCCAACAGCTAACGGCAAGACAACCCTCCTGCTCCTGCTCCTGCTCCTGCTCCTGCTCCTGCTCCTGCTCCTGCTCCTGCTCCTGCTCCCGCTCCTGCTTCTGCTCCTGCTTCTGCTCCCTCTCCGGCTGCCGCTCCCGCTCCCGCCCTTGCCCCTGTTCCTGCTCCCTCTCCTAGCTTGACTTGGTACTGCAGAGAACTTCCAGATTTCCTGACCTCATCTCGCCACAACGACCTGGATGTTCAGCAAGAGGATTTCATCCTTCCGTTGCCACAGAAATGTTGGTCGTGTCCACCACTCGACCAGGTGTCAAGTTAAAGTTGATGCGTGAGGACAACATCAAAGTCCCAGTCCTCTGGTTGGCATGCCTCACAGCTGCTGTGACGGCGGGGAGTGATGGGATGCATCGAGCGACGCAGAATGTGAAGATCAAATCAGCCCACATCGTTATCAAAGAGTTGAGGGATGTTGGCCACGAACCTCGGCTATTGAGGTTGCGAGGAGGGAGTCAGGGAGGAAGCACGCACCCGACTGTTAGGCAGGGGTTACAGTTTGCAAAGAGGGTTCCATCCGCTCTTCAGGATGACATCGACTACACTGAGGGGAAGAAGTACATCTTCATCATGTCAGATTTCACGGGTTTTACAGCATCTCATATCTTGACAGCGGTCCTGTATCAGGTGAGAAGCCTTTCTCTATTCCTTTCTCTCTCTCCTCCCTCTTCTTCCATCTCTACCCCACCTCCCTTTCTTCTTCCTCCTCCTCTCCTCTCCCTCTCCTCCTCTTCCCCTTCTTATTGACCCATTTCTCTCTCTCTTCCTCCTTTCCCTCTCCTCCTTTCCTACTCTTTCCTTTCAGTGATACATTCCATCCAGTTCCCTTCCTGCAGTCACAGCAACAAGGTGACGACTCAAGTCTTCTCCAACGTGAAGTCAGTCTTGAAGATGCGACGTATCATCGCCTTTGCCAAGTACGTCGGAGCTCTCGTGTGCTTCACTATCAGAGACACGGAGCTGCGCAAGGAGCTGGCAGAGGAGTGCAAGGAAGCCAACATAGCAGCTGTAGACCTCCTGGGGGACCTTTCGGATGGACTATCGCACTTTCTCGAGCTGACGCCCATCAAGGATTCGGAAGATCAGGTCGATGCTCTTCCCCAGCGCAAACCTCTGTCATCGGGTTACTTCAAGAGGATTGAAGCTGTGGATTTCGCCATCAAGATGGATGAGGGATCGTTCCCTGAGAATTATCACAAGGCTGACCTTGTACTTGTTGGCGTCAGCCGAGTACAGAAAACTCCCTTAGCCATGTACCTTTCACAGCAGTTCGGTCTCAAGGTGGCCAATACCAAGATTGTGCTGGACTGCCCAGTGGAGCCCGAGCTGCTCAAGATCGATCCGAGGAAGGTGTTTGCGCTGACTTGTCAAGCGGATTATCTGCTGAAGATGAGGAGGAGGAGAGTCATGATGGTCCGGAGTGACTTCGATGACGACTCGTTACGGAAGGGGTCGATCAAGTTCGAGGTGGGTCCAGGACACTCAGACACTGAGTACGCGAGCATGGAATACATCCGGACGGAGCTCGAGTACGCTGATTCAATCTACCGGCAGAACCCGGAGTGGAATCGAATTGACATCACCGGGCTCTCGGTGGAGGAGGTGGCGGATCTCCACATCGTACCAGCTCTGCCTCGTCGTCCGACTGTGATCGAGGTCCTTGCAGAGCATCTGATGAGTCGGGCGCTGACGTCGCTACCCAGGGAGCGCTAGAGGCGCTTTCTTGCAACTTCTGCATCGTGCGGGTTGACACCAACGAGATCGACAGGTTCGAGGCTGACGGAGCTCATGAGACTCGGGGGGCCTGGTCGGAAAGCGACGAACAAGGAGTTCACTTTGGAGCAGCAGCTGCTGCGATCAGCAGTCAGAGCATGATGCCAGGTACGAGGAGGCACCCAGCTGTTGATCAGCTCAGCTGCGCCATGGCAGGTGGAGCTGGAGACGGGACCGATCCAGACCCCTTCTCGAGCATCGCATATCAGGTGACAGCTTGCTGGGCTTTGGCTTCTCGGGTGACGAGGGTCTACAGGTCGGAAAAGGGAGCTGGGAAGCCTGGGGCAGTAGTTTACAGCTGATGTTCATGAGCGAGGGGCTGTCGTCCCTGACCCACATCTCGAGGTCTCGTGCAGGAGCGTGCGAGTGTGGTGGTGACGTCAGACGGCAGGGAGACGATGGTGGGCAAGAGCATCCTGTCCCTCCTCAAGAGCATCAGCGGACGGCAGTCGGACCCTGCGCTGCTCAAGGAGCTACTGGTACGAGGCGCCTCCTTCTGACCTGTGTCTCATCTCGTGACAGAACGCGCTCTACGTGGGTATCGAGAAGACGGTGGTGGTCGCGTGCAATCGAGCCGACGACAGCTCGAGCTCCTTCCTCAACGAGGTCCATGTCGCTCCCGTCAAGAACCGGGTGGGAATGAACGCGTTGTACGTCGTTTCCATGCGCGAGATCTTTCCGTCCAAGGAGGAGAAGGAGGAGAGGGAGGAGGTCGCGAGACGAGACGTGGAGGAGACGGAGTTGGAGATGGAGAAAGAGGACGTGAGCAACATCTGCGACAAGACCCGCAGGCAGACGTTCTACACCGTCCTAGACGCGACGATTGACGGGCTGCCGCTGTGCTACGCGAGCAAGGGGTTCTTCAAGATGACGGGGTTCAGCGAGAAGGAGGTGATGTCAGCAGCCGGCGGTCACGTCTACACCTTGTGGGGAGCGGCGGAGGAGGGAGGGATGAAGAACGACATTCCCTCGCACGAGCTTGAGATCATCAAGAGTAAGGTGGACAAGGGCGTCGCCTTCAACGCTTGCTTCAAGAGCTTCCGCAAAGACGGCGTGAGCTCTCCTCCTCTCCTCCTTTCTTCTCCTCCTCTCCTCCTTTCTTCTCCTCCTCTCCTCCTCTCCCCTCCTTTCTCCTCTCCTCTCCCTTTCTCTCTCTCCTTCCGCATTCATTTTCCTCGCTTTTTCCCCTTCCTCTCGACCTCTCTCTTTCACTTCCCGTCTCTCACACTCGTCCTCCAGGCCTCCTTTTGGAACCTTGCTCACCTCGAGCCTGTTTGCGACGACTGGGGGACTTTGAAATATTACGTGGGAATCCATCATGCTGTCCTGAGCTAGCGGAGGGTGAAAATGCAGGAGCAGGAGCAGGAGCAGGAGCAGGAGCAGGGGCAGGAGCAGGAGCAGAAGCAGGAGTAGGAGCGGGAGCGGGAGCAGGAGTAGGAGTAGGAGTAGGAGCAGGGAAGAGCACTGGGGCAGCGGCAGGAGGAACAATTATTCATTGAAATGAATCATTTTTTTTCTTATGTGGAGTTGAGGAGGGAGGGGAGAGAAGAAGATTGAGGGACATTTACTTATTCAACATTCAACTCTTATTATCTTAACTATATCACATCCTCTCACGTTATGTTCTCCATCAGCAGCAGCTCGCTTGGTCGACATGGACCAGCAAGGAACCTCTCGTCCTCCCCACGTTCTGCTCGATCCGCACCTGCTTGCTGATCAATCCTCCCGTCCTTCTCACTTGCATCCGATGCTCCCCTCAACTCCATCCTCCACCTCCTCCTCCTCCTCCCTCCCTCCCCTCCTCCTCCTCCTATGATACCTTGGAGGCTTCGCATCCTTGGAGGAACATGATGGAGCTCATCCTGCAGGAGGCCGTCAGTCCAACCCGCCTCCTTCTCTGGCGTGCCCGCACTGATTGAAGGAGAAGCGACACTTGGCGATGCTCACGATGCTCTTTCCTCCGATGCAGATGCCATGCGCGTTGTCCCGAACGACTGAGGAGATCACTTCCCTACAGGAGCTGTCAGCGACTGAGGAGGGAGGAAGGGAGGGGAAGGAGAGAGGGGGGAGGGAAGGAAGGGGGAGGGGAGGGAAGACCCGAAGCTGTTGTCTCGGAAGCAGATTCCTCGTCCTCTGACTGGCGCTGTCTTGTCTATCACGCAGTGTCGGATCAAACACTTTCCGTTCTCCTGCACGGAGACAGCAAACGACGCCATTTCCTCTCCTGCCCCTAGTCCTCCCACCCCGCAGAGCTCGAGCTTCACGTCGCTAGAGCTGAAGCAGCGCACGGCGACCTGAGAGGAGGAGGGTAAGGGAGGGGAGGGAGAGACGTCGATCGGCCGTACCCCTCCTGATGTCCTGACCTCACATCCCGACACCTCCCACGGTCCTCCCCAGAACAGCAAGCAAGGGCTCATCTGCTAGCACCGTCAACACCTCCTCTCCCCTCGCCCTCTCCCCCTCCCTCCCCTTCACCCCAACCCCACCCCCAGCGCACTAAGCACCAGTGTCCTCAGGGAGTGAGGGGTGTAGCCTCCTAGCGGGTCGACAGACGCGTCTCTGAGCTGCGAGCTCGCGATGTTGACCAGCTTCAGCGCTCGCATCCTTCCTGACGCCTCCGAGTGCATCGTCCACCTCCCCAGCAGCAGCGCCTGCGGCTCCCCCACCAGCTCGACCTGCAAGCTCCCGTCAGCAAGTAAGGCGGAGGGGACGGGACGACTTCGAGGTGGAAGGAGGGAAGGAGGAGGAGGAGGAGGAGGAGGAGGAGGAGAATCTGTGCCTGGTTGTAGATTGGGATGCAACTTCTAGGAGTATGCTGTCCTTGCATGAAAAAGACTCGCCGCTTATCCGCCTGCTTGATCACCTCCAACACTGCCTTGCTGCTGTCCTCCCGCCCCACCATCGGCTCCTCTCCACTGCGCGGCTCCACCTCTACGAGGAGGGTGTGATCTTCAGGGGGTTGGAGGGGTTGTGCGTCCTCTGGTGCCGGCTGAGCCCACGTGGTCTCGGAGAGAGGGACCGCCGACATCTGCAAGAAGTGAGCGAAGGATGAGAACAGAAGAATCGTAAGTGAGCAAAGGAGAGAGAGGAAAGGAGGAGGAAAGGAGGAGGAAGGGGGAGCTACCAGGGGCCCCTCGTCCTTGTCGGGCGTAGCAGGAGAGTTCTGCTTCTCCGTCCGAGCTTCTTCTTCGTCCTTCGCGTCCTTCGAGTACAGCAGTTGCTCGACCTCTCCCCACTGCTGCGCCTTCACCCGCTCCTGCTGTTCTGAACGGGCGAGGAATGGAAGCTCGGGGGAAGGAGGAGCATGCAGGTCTGGTAAGGGAGGACGAATGGTCCTCGATAGCTCCGGGGAGGAGGAGGAGGAGGATTCTGCAGCGTTCATTGCTAGAGGCCATTTTTGTGCGACCCATCTGATGGTATGAGGGGTGAGAAGAGTAGGAGAAGATGGTGGGGGTGAGGAAAGGAGAGGAGATGGGAATGGACTGAAGGCTGGACGCAACCAAGGGACAAGAAGCAACGAGACGATAGGCTGGGGAAGGAGAAGGGGAAGAGGGAGGAGAGGAGGAGAGGAGATCTCACTCGCGCAGAGCGTCGAGCTTCTGGTGTGTTTTTGTGGCATTGTCTTTTGCTTCGAGGAGAGCAGAAGTCGTCTGCTGCAGCCTCTCCTGCAGACTCGCCGCGTCCTCTCTTGGCTTATCCTCCCTCATGCGGCGCAGATCCCGTACCTGCAGCGAATCAGCTGAGGAGGAGCAGAGGGAAAGCCTGGGGACAAAAGAGAGGGAGGGAGAAGAGCAGGTAGAGGAAAAGGATAGAACCTCTGCCTCCAGTCTTCCTATCTGATTTTCTGCCTCCTGTAGGCGAAACTTTGCAAGTTGAAGCTCATGCTGTAGTTCAGCACTGCTCCCGGCACGGCTGAGGAAGCGTTGAGTCAAGGCTTCTCCTCCTCCTCTCCCCTCCTCCTACCTAATTTCCTCCCTTCGTGGCAGCGATGCTGCTGCTGTTTCTCCCCTCCTCCATGTTTCCCTGCTAACATCGTCAGATGATCAATCAGAGATGAGGGTGGATGGACCACGTGGAGCTTTGAGGTCGAGGATGTACACTCGGCTGTCCTGCGATCGAGGAGGAGGAGGAGGAGGAGGAGTTGGTCGTGTGCGACAAATTAGCGATGGACTTATCTTGCTGTTCCATTGAATATCTGAAGAGCGTCGCTGCAAAGGGATTAGGGAGAGAACAAAGGAGGAGGACAAGGGAGGAAGGAGAGCGGGAGCTGCTGTGTGGAACACGAGACAGGAAGGGGCATATGTAGCGGCTCGTTGATCAACCTGTCAGGTTTCGCACCGACGCTTCCAGATGGCCAACAGACGTCGCTATGCTGCTCTCAAGATCGACAACCCAACCAGGCTTGCGCTTCTGATCGACAACCCAACCAGGCACGCTCCCTGTCTCCTCCTCCTTCATCCTCCCCACCTTCTCCGCTCCTATGACGCCGCTCGCTTCCCCCTCCGTCTCTTTCTTTGCCTTCGGCGGCAATCGAGAGGACGGGGGAGGCGCCTGCCCCCCCCCGTGAGGGATCATGAGTAGCAGCTGATCCGTCGCCTCCTTCACCTCTGCCCTGAAAGCCGCGCTCCTGCTCAGAATCGCCTCCTAACTCCATGTCAGCAAAGGACGAGGGAGGGAGGGAGACGTCCGACCTCTTCCTCCTCGCAGGCCTGTAACCTCGCGCTCAGCTCCTCCATCCTCTCCAGCAGCTCTGAGTGACGCGCCTCCTCCTTGCGCTTCTTTTCCTCGTGACTTTCCTTCTTCTGCTCGAGCAGGAGAAGCTGCTGCTTCAGCTTCGCGCACTTGCGGGAGGAGATATCCAGCTCTTCGTTCGCCTCCTTCACGTTCGCCTCCTTCCCCTTCTCCACAGCAGCAAACTTGACCCTGTCCCGCAGACTCTCGAAGATTAGATCCATCCTGCTCGCCTCCTCCTCCAGCTCCAGCTGCAAGGACTGCAGGCGGTCTTGACCTCCCGCCATCTCTTCATCCATGTCCATGACACGCTCTCGTGCCTCCTTCTCCAATCTTGACAGCTGCAGACTCGTGTCACGACCTCTCCTAACTCCAGCTACCTCCAACCTTGGCTTCCTCCTCCTGCACTCGTGAGCGCTCTTGCGCTGCCTTCACCGCGTCGATCCTCAGCTTCGCAAGCTCTTCTTGCAGCCGCCCGCACGTTTCTTTCATTGCGTTCAACTTGTCTCCTCCCTCCTCTGACACTTCGGCTTGTCGTGCGCTGTCTCTGTCGTCAGCCGTCCAAGCCATCTCCTCCTCAGGTACCTCAAACCCGTTGGTCGCACGTTGGCCCTCTTGCTCGCCTGAAGCTTGAGACGAGACCGCAGGCTCTCGATGGCGTTCTTCACGAGAGTCAACTGGCAGGGGGTGAGAGACGCAAGAGGCGCACAAGGTATCAGACCGCTGTGCTCAACGGCTCCAGTGCTGACAGCACAAAAGTCTTTCCTTTCAGCAGAGCTTCAGCAACTACCTCCTCCTCCTGTTCCAGCAGAAGTTTCGCCTTCTTCAGCGAGCTCTCCTGCCACTTGCTCCACCCCGAGAAAGCAGTATGTCCCGCCGCTGTGCCTGCCCGCACGCCCTCAAGCTCCTCCGCTCGCCTCTTGGCAGCGACGTGCTCCCTTGGGAGGGAGGGGGCAGCACGGTCCTCGACGGGCACGCGCATGGTGCTGGTCTCCAACTCATCCTCGGAGAAGGTGGAGAACCACGAGGAGTACTCATAACGCATCCATTCCTTCCTCAGAGATCACTGGGGCGAAAAGAGCAGCGCAGTGCCGAGCAGAAGCAAAGGGAACAGTGGAGTAGAGGACTTGAAAGGGAGTAGAATAAAGAAGAGAGGAGAGGAGAGAGGAGAGAGTAGAAAAGAAGAGAGGAGGGGAAAAGAGAGGATTATATCAACCTGCCCATAGAAAGCAGCTGCGAGTAGAACACGCTCTATTTTGAGGAACATTTCCTTGTCTAGTTTGTCGACCTGGTACAATACCTGGACCAAGAGATCAGGTCAGAGGGCCAAGGGATAAGGATTCAGGAAGAAGAGTCAAACTTTCAGGAAGAGTCTTAATTTTTCACCTCTCCACTGTGACGATCGACCTTCTTGCTGTATCCGCACGCGATGAGGAGCCGAAAGCCTTCCTCTCCCATTCTCTGCTGCAGCGCGAGGTTTCCTTGGCGTACCTTCACAGGAATCAGCTCAAGAGGAGCCAGGAGCACAATTCCTACCTTGCTCCACGCTTGCTCTCGAGGTTCTCTACCTGCACTTCCAACAAGGTACGCTGCTGTCTTGACTGCAGCAGAGAAGAATTCGTGGGAAGGAAGCAGCAATTCTGCCAGTGTCTGTACGACCCGTCGCACCTCCTCATGTTTCGTCATGAGAGCATGAAGCCAGAGCGATCCATCTTGCTTTTGATTATGCTTGTCCAACAATCTCCTCCTCTCCCATGAGATCTCCTCTTCGATCCCTCCGTACATTGAAGGCATTGCCTGCCACGCCGGATCCCGACGCATCTCCCAACTTCCTCCTCCTTTGAGTCGTTGAAGGAGAGAAGAGCACTCAGCCAACTTGAAGGCTGAGGATGCACACTGTAAAGAGACAGTGATATCATCTCGAGCTCCTTGCGGGAACGTGGGAGTGTCTGGAGAGACATGGAATGATGACGAAAGCACGCAGACCGTCAAGACTTTCGAAAGGAACGAGAAAACGCTCATCCCTCTCTTCAAGATGTTATAATATTCTTCTGAAGAAACAATGGATAATAAGTCATTGTTCAGCCACTCTCGTCATCGAATATCCTTTCCTACCGAGGTCTCACCGCCATGGCACTCGAAGATCCGCTTGCCTTTCACTTGGAAGGCTCAATGTAAGGGCTAGATCAATGTAAAGAGGAATCGAGCGAGGGCAGGATCGTAGGAGCGATGGTATCTTAGGATCGTAGGAGCGATGGTATCTTGCCTCCCATGTCAAGGTTTCCGTTTGTGAGTTCGCATTCCTTCGCTCCCCTTCGCTCGCCTCCTTCCCCGCAGATTCGAAAGCGTAACGACTGTGTGTGAATCTCTGTTACAAGACCCCCACCCATTCCTTTCCTCTCAACTACCCACCTTGTTCCCTGTGGACCAACTAGCCCCAGGACTACCTTGTCCTCGTACTGATTTTTAACTTAACTTTGACTACCCCGTCAACCCCACGGAATACCAGCGTCGTGACCGTCACCGGCCCGGGCCCGGTCAGCGGGGCGGCCTCGGAGTCAATCCGATGACCGATCCTGGCACTGCCGGCCGGCCCGGGCGGCTTCCGAACTGGCAGGCTGCCCGGCCCGGCCCATACCGGCGTGGCTATGCCGCGGCGGCAACTCGTGCTTTGAGAGTCCCGGCCGCCGTTCAAGTTGGCACGGGGCCGCTTGCCGGCCAGCGGAAGCCTTCCCGGTGGCAGCCTGGGACTTCAGATCGTAATCAGCCCCCGAGTACCGTAGTACGCTGTCACTCGCCGGGGCCATTCGGCGTTATCACCCAGGCCCGGGCCGGGGCCTCGGATCCGATTCAGTCAATGGCCACATCTCAGTCGGGCCGGCAGGTTGTGACTGAAACTGTACGGACGGTACACATAAAAATGACTTGTAGTAGAAACTGCTCATTTTGTATCTGTATTTATCTCAGAAGTCTACAGCATACAGTCCATCTCCAGTGGGGACCGGCAGGGTAAGAAGTGAAATGAGCAGGTAAGCGAAGGGAGAGGTTTGTCTAAGTGAGGCAATAAGCTGAAATGGGCAAGAACAGAACCACCCGACGGGCGACATCGTCTCTTTCGTAAGAGCCTATTCCTGCCGCAGAAACCAAGGACAGGCGAAGCATATGCCGGGCTTTTACTACGACCTTCTCCTCCTCCCCCTCCACCTCCTCCCCCTCCTCTCCTCTCCATCTTCTGTGATCTCCTCCTCCCTCTCAGCTCCGTCAGTCGATGTCGTCAGGGCGCTGGAGTGGGAGATCCGCAGCATCAAGCAGAGCCTCTCTGCTACCCTCGAGGAGCTCCGAAGCCTCAACGCCTCTGTCACCTCCTTGCCGCAGCTTCCCTGGGGTAACCTCACCTCCAGCGTAGTTCGCTGCTCCCTCCCCTACAACTAGTCTCAGATCATAGAGAAGGAGGACCAAGGGAGAGTTCAACATGCAGATCGACAGGTGTGTCGTATCTTTTCTTCTGGCATACACATTGACCTTTCATGTTCCATACAAGATTCGAGGTCTGGGTCTGCGACTATGACAACCGATGTGTCCAGCAGACAGGCAACGCCATGTGCTTTGTGTTCGATGAAGTCCAGGAGGTCTTTCTTCCATGGGGACTTGACTCGCAGCTGCTCGTGACTCAGGTCAGTTGCTCGACTTCTCCTCCTGTGACAATACTGATGCTCCTCCAGCAAGAACCCTTCCAGAGTAACCTTGCCGTCTCCCACATCCTTGCTAAACTCAAGGCCCTCGAGCAGGAAATTCGCTCGGGGGGATGCGGGGGGTCGTGCGTGAGCCGGCAGCAAGTGCAGCAGCTGCTGGACCAGTACTACCTGGAGCCCGGCTACCTGTGGAGCGCCGGCAGCAGCAGCCTGTGCGGCAGGGGAGTGGCGAGGAGAAGCATCACATGCATCTCGAAGCTCCTCGAGCAGGTCGAGGACGTTCGCTGCTCCAACCGCTCGAAGCCTCTGGCGGAGGTTCCCTGCCTCAACCTCTCCCAGTGCTGCTACGAGTGTCATGCGCTCAGACGTGCGCGGCAGAAGGGAAGACGTGCGTGAGCTCAGCGATCAACCAGATCGACAACGAGGAGGCGATGCGATCGGCCGTGCGGGCGGCGAGTATCGCGTCCGATCGACCGGGGGGCCTCCACTTGCGGGTGAGCGCGGGAGCTCACGAGCAAGGAGGAGACGGACTGCAGGACCTGACGGCGAGCAGCGGGCACGTGAAGCGTCGACGATACGTAGAGCACGGGGCTACCAACTTCCCTCTTGTACCTCAGTCAGGTCCTAACGCAGGGCGAACTTGTTGTTCCATCACTCAGAACTTCTATGTGGATGTGCCGGTCGAGCTGCAGGGCTCGAGGACGATAACGATCAGCATAACCATCGAAGGGGCTGACAATGGAAATATAGTTGAACATATTTCAGATATGGAAGCATAGTATCTCCTGACACGTATCCGACTTTTATGAATCAGTTCAACAGCAGGATTGATCTCCCTCCCCAAAAAGCTGTCGGAAGTCAAGTCGGCCCCATCAGCATGACCTACTGGCGGGTTGGTTACAACGGGCGATCGACGTGGAGGATCTCGGTCGGGGAGATGAGGGACGAGAGCGAGGAGCCTCTGAAGGTCATGTCGGATGGCAAGCTCAAGTACGTCAACGGCTCCTTCTATGATGTCGTCTCCTTCCCCCTCATGAGCATTCCGGGCCCTGTCTTCACCCTCTGCTCCATCTCTCGCTACAACGGCGAAAAGAGACACAGAATCCTGCAAGCTAAAGACCAAAATTTCGTGCATGGTCACTGGTACGCAGGACGAGGACAGGCCTACTACGATGGCTCTTGGAGCCTCCAGCAGGACCTGAGGGCTAAGGGGATTGCAGACGCGTAGGTGGTGCTGTGTGGGCAGAACTACCAGGAGGGCAAGTTGTTCCTCAACGGCGTGGAGTATGATCGATCAGCTGGAAGCCTGCCGGACAGCCTTCAGCTCACCATCAACGACATCGGCTTGGACCATGTGATCAGAGTGAGTTGGGATGCGACTAATTTGCTTTGGTGACAAGTTCAACTCTTTGTAAACTTTTTCCAGGTGTACATGATGTTCGGCAAGTTGATAACTATACAAACCATGCCATGACATCTATTACAATCGTCTGCGACCGCATCATAGGATATGTCTTTGCAGAAATGGAGTCAGAGTGTAAAATTGTAATCACATGTAGAATCCTGCGCATCAGTCCCAGTTCACATTCCCTCAAAGGCAAAGTGGACGAATGTACTTTGCCTGCACTCACCATGTTCCAAGATTATACTTCGCCTACACATGAGTTTGCTGATGCAGAGACAGTACAATTATGAAGCACCATTGCACTGAGGAAGCTCAAGGCACTGATAAGCGACTCTACTGTCTCTTTATATTACACTTATTTACTTCCTTCATGACTAAGTGCGCTATCATGAAACCGGGGTATGTGAATCTTTTATTGACTGAAAAAGATACGAGTACAAGCAGCCTGATTCGAGAGCATGCAGCGCTCGACCTTCATGCAGCGCTCGACTCGGGTCGAGCGCTGCATGCTGGTATCTTAGGATCGTAGGAGCGATGGTATCTTGCCTCCCATGTCAAGGTTTCCGTTTGTGAGTTCGCATTCCTTCGCTCCCCTTCGCTCGCCTCCTTCCCCGCAGATTCGAAAGCGTAACGACTGTGTGTGAATCTCTGTTACAAGACCCCCACCCATTCCTTTCCTCTCAACTACCCACCTTGTTCCCTGTGGACCAACTAGCCCCAGGACTACCTTGTCCTCGTACTGATTTTTAACTTAACTTTGACTACCCCGTCAACCCCACGGAATACCAGCGTCGTGACCGTCACCGGCCCGGGCCCGGTCAGCGGGGCGGCCTCGGAGTCAATCCGATGACCGATCCTGGCACTGCCGGCCGGCCCGGGCGGCTTCCGAACTGGCAGGCTGCCCGGCCCGGCCCATACCGGCGTGGCTATGCCGCGGCGGCAACTCGTGCTTTGAGAGTCCCGGCCGCCGTTCAAGTCGTTAATTTGGCACTTAAATTTTTCGAAAGGGTCTTTTTTTTTAGTAGGCGTGCTTTTTTGATAAACGAGTTAGAGACCCCACTTCATAGTACCCAAGAGTTTTAGTTTATTTCAACAATCCTCTTTACAAGTTGTTTTAACGGTAGTTACAGTACGGTACCGACACATACCCTATGGTACTACTTTCAGTACCAGTTGCAATCCTCCTTGCCTTGACGGACCGTTGAATAGCGGCGCAATCGGGGCGGCCACCGTCGTCAAGGGCTGCCTCATCGCTCGGCATTGCCAAAAGGAGGAGCCTCGGAGATTGGAGCAAGAGAACAAGGTGATCCTCTTCATTCGCATGAGATACATCAAAGAGGCACCGTTGTTCCTTCAACGGCAGCAAATGCCTTCGATCATTCTGTGCACTTTGAATTACTACACCACGTTGAAGGTTTAGACATGTCATTCAATCTGGTACCATGTCATGGTGAAATTTCGAAGTGGAATCATCCGAAATTGGAAAGGAAGAATGTCAACTTCTTTAACACTAGAAAACAAACTAATTTCTTCCGTCTCAACATCGATCTGCACAAGATTAGGACTACGGTAGTATGGTTAACTGCCACGGTTTCGCAAACGTGGGAAGCCCTTCTTGAAACCCCGGATGAAAAGGTCAGTGCAGTTGGACCATCAGTACATCACTCTTACAGAACAGAGAATCAAGTTCGTGTGCCTTTCAAGGATGAACCCTACATGTTAGAACCAACAGGCTGGATCAGGTTCGTTATATTTCGAGGGCGCACTGACAGTCACCTTCAAACGAAATTAGAGGACGCAATACACATGCATCTCTTTCAAGTTCGAAAGAATGGTACGATTGTGCACGTTTCACACAGAGATTTGGAGGCATCCAGATTGAACGCAACTTTACTCAGACATTAATTTACTTTGAAGGAGCTGCCACAACAACTGAGTGAAGTGTGCTCGAACCGAATTGTTGAATTTCTTCTTGTCATCTGCCGCGGATGATTGCGTGAAGGTCCATGACTACCGCATGGACAGTGCATATCCCACACATGGTCAAGTTGCCCGTTAGATGCAGTAGCAGTTTTCTACTTCTCCGAGTCCAATGTAGCTGTTCCCGATCATGGCAGCAGCTCGATATGCATCTCAGAGTCTCTTCCCTGAAGTTGATGTCGGTGCTCGATGCACGACATGTTCAATAGTCAGGCTAGTTGAATGCCATATTTCTCGTAGAAATGTACCCACATGCCCTGACAACATCATGCTGTGCAAATAGAAAGACTGCAGCAGTCTCTTTTCGAGGCAGGGCGTCTTTCGCCGCCTGCTGCGGGAGCAGCCGTCCCGTCTCCTGCAGACCCTCCCGGTATCTGCAGGCATCGATGACAACAAGGAAACAGACTGAGAGTCACAGTGTAGTCCTCTACCTCCTCCTCTGTCTCCATCGTCCCTACCTCACAGGGGATCAGGTCGTCTTCTTTGGCCCTTCCTGCCTTCATCCCATGGCCAGCGTAGAAGAGGACGACTAGCCTCCTCAGCTCTTGGTGCCAGCCTAGTCGCATCCCTGATAGCGTTTTCCAGCTTGCACGTACTTGTCCGCTCTAGTATGCAGAGGCCGAACACCCGGGGCGGCTCCAGGAACAGAATCTCCTGATGGAGAGGAGACTGCAGGAAGCCCGTTCCTCTAGCGCACAGTGACGGGATGCTGTTGAGGAAGAAACGTCATGCGACATAAATGACTAGAGGATGCGCATAACAGTGAGTATTCATAACAGTGAGCATTGAGGGATTTCTCTGTGGATTCACTGCCATATGATGACTGATCCGAGTATCCGATCCGACTCCCGCGGGGGCCGCATACGGCCGCGCCACTGACCCGGGCTTGAAGTCACGATGATACCGTACCCGGTACTGCGGGGGCCGGGGCCCGGCAGGGCCCGGGCTCACACGGTCACTCCGACGGCCCCGGCGGCGGTCAGTCACCGTTGAGTTGGCGCGGCCAGGCCACTGCAGTCAGTGCCGGGGCTGACCTTCGGACCGTCGGACTCGGAGAGTCTGAGTCTGGCCCGCCCGGCGGGCAGCCTGGCAGCGGCCACCCGGAATGCGGCCCGGTCATGGGCGTGACGGGGGCCAGTCAGTGATTGAACCGTGAACGGTTCCCGGGCCGGCGGCGCGGCCGATGACGATTATCGGATCGGATGTCAGTGACCCGCCGGGTGCCAGGCCCCCGGCACGTGGCCGGGGGCCTTGAATGGCCGGGCCCGAGTGACTCGGACCGTCGGAGCGGCTCCGGGCCGCGGCGGGCCCGGGTTGAAACTTGGCACTGAAGGATTTTGAGCTATTTCAGAATCAAATTGAGTACCCACCCGTTGATTATTGCGGATCCGAGGTCAAAGACAGGGGTAGGGTGATAGGGCTCCCCTTTGAGGCAGACAAGGGTCATAGCTGGATTTCGTGATTTTCATCGGGGGGTAGGGGGTAGTCTTTGATGGGTGTAGGGTTTTCTTCGAGTCCAAAGGTGGGGTACTAATCAGGTAATGGTAGGGGTATTTTGAAATTTTTGATGGACCTGAAAAGGGGATGGTGGTTGTAGATTGGTAGGGTGGTGTCAGGAAAGTGCCACGTACTACCCGTCCTTTATCCTGTCACAGGACGGGTCAGCAGACCCCTGCAATCACCACCCCTGCAACAATCACCCCTTTTGTTGATTCCTCGTTACCCACCGGTCGTGAAAAGTGACCCATATTTAGTCCAGTACCCCTGATATTCCCTCATAACCCGTTTGTTTTCATTCAAAATGACCGGTACTTTGTAACAATTTTTTGATGGGGTAGGTCATCACTACCCACCCCCTTGGTTGAGTACCCACCAGCTTGTTAAGGTGCCCCTTTCCCTTTGATTACTCAATACCTAAACACCCCTACCCCATTTCAGATACTGATACCGGTGAAACAATAACCCCTACCCCCTATTCCAAAATTATACCCCTAGTACTTAGCAGAAATATCAGTGTTTGTCTCCTCTGCCGAGGCTGCTGTACCGGTGGTAGAGTACCCCCACCCGTAAATTGCTCTACCAACCCACGTTCCCCCTCATCCCCATACGCACGGGGATGGCGCCATGCGCGGAGGCGTTGACGGGGAAGCCGGAGGGCGATGGCGTGCTGGCGCAAGGAGGAGAGAGAGTCTTCGCCAGTGAGCACGATCTCCCAGAAGACGCTGTCGCCATCGATGGCGTCGTCTACTCCCTGCGGGGGTGGAACCATCCTGGCGGGGATCAGATCCTGCTCTTTGGGGGCAACGACGTGTCAGTGCAGTATCGGATGATCCACCCCTTCCACGCCCCCGGAGTTGTCGGCAAGATGCCCAAGATCGGAGTCCTTGAGAGCTACAGGTCAGTTGAGATGAACCTCCTCTTGTCGAGCCATCGACCCCTGCCACCCTCCCTCCAACCCGCTTCTGAACTATGATGCCGCAGGAAGGACTACTCGTTCGGCTCCAAGTTTGAGAAGGACCTCATTGAGGCTGTGGGCAAGGTCGTGAAGCCAAACCAGGTGATGCGATAGGAGGAAGAAAGAAACCTTGCTTGACGCTGCTCGGTGGCAGAGGTTCGCTACCCCTGGGTTCTGCATGCGCCTCGTTTTCTACATCTCGCTCTACAGCGTCCTCATGTACAGCTACGTGGTCTATGGCTCCTCATGGCTGCTCTGCGCGGCGCTCGGCGTCTCACAGGCGCTGATTGGTCTGAACGTGCAACACGACGCTAACCACGGGGCGATCTCGAGATTTCCTGTAGTGAACGGTGCGTGAAGATGGCGCAGGAGGTGGTGGTAGAGCTCACGCTCTCATGGCAGAGATCCTTGGGTTTGGGGCTGATCTGATCGGAGGCTCCAAGTATCTCTGGCTGCAGCAGGTCAGAGGAGGGAGCTCGAGCTCCCCTGTCTCTGCTTGTGCTCACCGTTGGGCAGCACTGGACCCATCACGCATACACCAATGACATCGAGCGGGACCCTGATGCCAAGGTAGAGCAAGACATGGACGTGACGGCAGCAGCAGATCTCTGACGCGAGCATGCAGAGCTGTGATCCGTTCTTTCTCTTCCACAACTACCCGCACGACAGCCCCATGAGGAAAGCATTCCATGCCTTCCAGCACTTCTGGTATGACCCCTTCACCCTGCTCTCTGCACCGGCATCCAATAAGAGCTGCTGGAGGATCCTGCTCTTGTCTGTGTTGCATTCTCCCTCACATGAGTTGCTTCATCCTCTTGTTCCTTGAGGAGACATGCTGCCTCCTACCTGACCGCATGCTGTAGGATGCTTCCGATCCTGTCGTTCTACTGGCTTTCCTCCATCGTCAGCTCAGAGGCGATCTCCGTGACGCACATCGTGAGGCTGCCCCGCCCCTCCCCCCCGCCACCCTTGTCCTTGTCCTTGTCCTTGTCCTTGTCCTTGTCCTTGTCCTTGTCCTCGTCCTTGTCTTGTCCTCGTCCTCGTCCTTGTCTTGTCCTCGTCCTTGTCTTGTCCTCGTCCTCGTCCTCGTCCTCGTCCACGTCCTTGTCCTCCAGCAGTCCCGCAGCTGACATATGAGCTGCAGTCATCGAAGCAGGGAGGGATGAGGTTCGAGAACTCCTACCTCAAGAACCACCGCATCCAGACCTGGCTGCTCCGTGCCTTCTACCTCGCCTGCACCTCCCTGAGCCCCTTCTATCATCACCAGTGGCACACTGCTCTCCTCCACGTCTGGTACGTGCGCATGCTCGGAGGGCTTACTCTGATTGCCTCCTCTCGTCAGGTTCATGTCGGTCGTGGAGTCTCTGTCTCTTGCGATCCCCTTCGCCCTCTCGCACAATTTTGAAGACGCGGAGAGACATCCTCTGGACGCGGGCAACGGGGAGCCGGTCGACTGGTACAAGTCGCAGGTGAGGCGTCTGCTCGCTAGCGATCACGAGAAGGAGTGATAGATCTGCAGGTCGAAACCTCGAGCACGTACGGCGGCAAGGTCGCCGGCTGGATCACTGGCGGATTGAATTTTCAGGTAAGATGAGAGTGGGGCAATGAGAAGGATGAAGAGAAGAAGGGGAGGGAAGATGAAATGTGATGAGAAGAGCAGATCGGAACAGAGTGGAGGATGGGGATGGAGAGGGAGAGCAGGGGAGGGGAGGGGAGGGGAGGAGAGGCAGGAATGAGCATGAGGAGGGGAAGGACATCTCTGCTCCTGAGACTCTGAGTAGGTTGAGCATCATCTCTTTCCTCGCATGTCGTCTGCATGGTATCCCTATATCCAGCCTGTGGTACGCGAGCTCGCGGAAGGCAGTCGAAGACACTGACGGTTTGAGACCCCCAGGTTAGCGAGGTGTGCAAGAAGCACGGGGTCCGTTACGCGTACTATCCTTCCTTCTTCCACAACCTCTTCTCTACCGTCAAGGTTGTTCCTCTTCTCTTGCCTCTTTCGTCCTCTTGTCCCTCACTGTTCCTCCCCTCTTCCGCTTCACCCTCATCTCTTCTACAACTCTTCCATCTTCCTTTCCCTTAGCTGCTATCACTGATCACGGATCCTTTTCTGTCTCCCTTCTTGTTCCCTCCTTGCTCGTCTGCTGTCCACTGACTAGCCTTGCAGTACATCAGGGATGTGGGGACAGGCGCGATCGCCATGAAGAAGAAGAACTGAAGCGTCGCAGCTTTTTGCTTCTCCCGTGAGGTTGAGGGAAGGGAGAAGTTGATGGTTGAGATGAAGCATGACCCCAAGACTTGTCTCGCCTTCTTGTTCCATCGTGTCTTCTCTCACTTCCTTTCACATCGCTCTCGTCCGCTGCTTCTTGTGCCCCTGGTTCATCTCCTCCTGGTTGGATTTGGTTTGCCGAAGCTGCCGACCTGAGAGAAGATGAGAAGAGCAGATAGAAGAAGAAGAGCAGAGAGAAAAGAGGAGGAAGAAGAGCACATAAAGGAGGGTAGAAGTTATGAAGCCAACCATGAAGACACGTACGATGAGATAGAGAGAGATGAAGGTGGGCAAGGAGGGAAGGAGGAAACGAAGAAAGGAGGGAGGGAAGGAGGGAGGGAAGTAGGAACGAGGAGAGGGAATGAGGAACGAGGAGAGGGAATGAGGATGGAGTGCAACCGGCTTGGGCTTGTTGATGATGTCCTTGCACTTGGGGATGTGTCTGCGTGCTGTCTCCTCTGATAGCGAAATCAACGAGGGAAGCGCAAGAGCAGAAAAGGCAAGGAAATGCAGAGACGGAGAAGAGAAGGGGGAGGGGACAAGGGGAGGAGTGAGGAGGAGGAAGGAGTGTGAGAAAGGAGGGACAAGGAGGGACGAAAGAGGGATGTGAGAAGGGAGGAGAGGGAAGTGAAGTGAGAAAGGGAGCGACAGGGGAGGAGGACTCCACCTGCAAATTTTCGTCCGCAATGCGGGCAGGGGACGCGATCGTCTACTGAATGTGTCTCCTCGAACTGAGCAGAGCGTCATGAAAGCTAGTTGAAGAGAAAGAGAAGGAGAAGGGAAGAGGTCAAGGTACAAGAGAGAAGAGGGAAAGGAAGGGGAGGGGGAGGGGAGGGAGACGAGAAAGTGGTGGCGGAGGACAGAAGGAGAGTTGGAGTTGAAGCGAGAGGGGAGGAAGAGAGGGAAGAAGAGGAGGAAGTGGAAGGGAGGGAGCGATTGGATGGAAGGAGCCTCGACCTTGAGGGTACGGATATCGACACCCTACAAAAATCAAGTCAGGTAAGAAGAAGTTGCTGACTTGGAGACAGAAATAGAGGAGGGGAGAGGGGGAAGGGGGATGGGGAGGGAGGATTGGAGAGGAAAAGGGAGGGAGGGAGTGGAGAGGATAGGTCAGGGAAGGGGCGGGGATGGAGGAGAGGAGAAGAGAGGAAGAGAAGAGAGAACGAAAGGGGGGCAGGAGGGTAAACCTCTTTCTCTGCTTGTGTGATGATTTTTGCGTTTCTTATCGCAGCTCTGC